TAGCCACCCAAGTCCAAGAAACCCAGAGAGTCCCAAACAGGATAAACCCAAGGCGAAACACCCCAAGACACATATTAATCAAATTAACAAAGATCAAACACAAAGAACAAATATTAAAAACAGTAAAGGAGAAACAACAAATAACACACAAAGGGATTCCCATAAGGATAACTGCTTATCTATCAATAGAAACCCTCCAGACCAGAAGGGAATGGCAGGACATACTTAAAGTAATGAAAGAGAATAACCTACAACCCAGATTACTGTACCCAGCAAGGGTCTCATTCAGATATGTAGGAGAATTCAAAAGCTTTACAGACAAGCAAAAGCTGAGAGAATTCAGCACCACCAAACCAGCTTTTCAACAAATGCTAAAGGATCTTCTCTAGACAAGAAATGCAGAAAGGTTGTATAAACGTGAACCCAAAACAACAAAGTAAATGGCAATGGGACCACACCTATCAATAATTACCTTAAGTGATGATGTTTTGAAGTAAAGTATGTTACTTAATTTGGGTTACTGGATCCCAGAAAAGCTTTAAGAAATACTAGAAGGTGTTCCTTCTGCACTATAAAATTATTTTAAAAATTAATGGCATGGATGGAAGTGTGCAGAAAAGGTGGTATTTCAGTTTTCTGTCTAAATTAAAAGACTTTTTCAAAGCTCCTAAATATTGCTGTTCTAAGTACCATAGTAATAAGTATTTTGATAATTCTGTTTCTATATTCAACTGCAAAGCTGTTTGTTATTTCTGTTTGCCTTTCAACTTTGTAAGACTTATTCGTTTTTTCTTTGTTTCTGTACTACCTGTTTAAAACAATAAGGTTTACCCTGTTCTGAGGAAGCTGGAGCTCTTAAGAGACTTAAGATATACAGTTGTTGTATCCAGTTGTTGGAATCAGGGGATTTACAGAAAGAAGTAGCATCTGAAATCATAGGATTGCTAATGCTGGAGGTGAGATGGAAAACAAAAACTTCTTTGGTTTTGGTTGGATTTGGAGCAGGGTTTGTAATTTGTTGAGGGAGGGAAAACGTAAATGTCCCACCATAGTTCCTACTTATAAGTAAGAACTACCGTTCTAAAATAAAATAGCCCATGAATGAGCCATAAACCACCTAGATGTTTATATTTGGTTTCCGGTATCGTGGACGTGTGTCTCTTTCAAGAGCTGGAATATTTAAGAACATCAGGGAACTGATAGAAGACCCTGACCTTTTGAAATCCTTTACCAAAGCAGAATGATTCCCTGAATCACTTTTAGAACCAGTTTTGGGCTTCAATGCCAGTTCTATCAACTCTGCAAAAGACGGTTTCTTAGAAAGAGGTACCAAACATCTAGATATCTGCTTAATGTTTTTTAATCCTGTGAACTTTTAGGTTCACCGTTTTCCAGGACAGTTATTGGTTGAATTAGCCAATGAGTTTGTTGGTGCTATCAATGAAGGCAAGCTAACAAATGGAAAATCTCTGGAGCTGTTACCCATCATTCTCACTGTCCTTGGTACCAAAAAGGAAAATCTGACTTATGGAAAAGGTAGTTTTTCTTCCAGTTTTAGTGGCTTTTTCTCTCTTCACTTAATTGGATTTATTCTTCAGTGTATTTTGCATTTCTAGGTGAACTAAGTGGGGAAGACTGTAAGAAGCAGTTGATTAACACCCTCTGTTCTGGCAGGTAAGTCCTTAATAATATGAAGAACCTTTCTCAGGACTACAAGTCACCAAAAAAAGGAATACCATTATTTTGGAAATTTATATCACTGAAGTTTTAGTCCATTTTTTTGTTTATGATTTACTACTATAAAACCGTTTAGTCCGAGATCAGTTTTTGAGAGAGGTTATTTGCTGAATTCTTTGTTCTAACATTATACATGTAGTCTCTACTTACTTAACTGTCCATCTTAACACAGCAATTTAGCCCTATAGTATTATTTGGAGTCCCAGGGTCTTCAAGGCTAGAAAGTCATCTTGCCACTATCTTTTATTTTTTTTGGGGGGGTGGGTGATATATAGTGATATTTTTAATTCTTTAAACCTGATATTTATATCTTTAAATCTGAAATACTAGTGTCTACACTAAGGAAAAACTGCATTGTATAAGAAAGTCTTCATACATGAACATTTCAACACAGAAATTTGTGACTAACTTAAGGATACAATAATGGAGATATGTAAGTTGTGGTATGTAGGCTATGAAAGAGCCACTCCATGTATTTATACCCATTAAAAATGAAATATATAAAGACATATAGCAAAGATGAAAGATCTTCGTGTATATATGTATATAGTAAGAAATCCTTAATATGTATCTTTATATGTATATATATATAGTCTGAAATGAATAGAATACTAAGTTACATAATACTGTTATTATACTTCAGTGTATTGAAAGGAACTAGATTATCTAAACCAGAGATAACTGCTTTCATGGTTCATAAGGTCTCTTACGGAAATGATTTTAAGCATGTATCAGCTCATGTATGTTTATCCATTTATTAGTTCTTAATTACACAAAAGTTTATTCATTCCACATTGTAATATACCTTTCATTTTTCATTTAACACATATGTTCATGTCAGCATATACTACCTTACATCATTCTTTTTAATAGTTCCATAGTATTCTAATATTTGGCTAATCTCTAATTGTTAGATTATTTAGTTTTTGCCAATAAATAATATTGGCTATTTGGTTTTTTGCTATTATAAAAGATGTTGCTAAAAAAAAAAAATGTTGCTGTTAACATTCTTTTATGTCTGGGTGACCTTTTATAAGCATGTACATGGGATATATTCCTAATAGTAAGCTGGCTGGCTCTTTGGTTATGTGCACGTTTAAAGTCGATAAGTAGTGTTGCCAACTTGTCTTCCCAGAAGGATTATATCAGTAGATGTTCCCCAAAATAGTATGTGAAGTGTTTGTTTACCAAAATCTCACTAGCATTGAATGTCATCAAGCTGTTCAGTAGGTTAAAAGTGGTTATTTCATTGTTTTAAATGTCATTTCTTTGATCTTGTTTCCCAGTGGCAGCAAATCAAACTTGAAAGGGCCCTGATTCTTTTCTTCCTTGCTAATTTTACAAAGTAACATGTAAATAAATTAAAACAACACAAACTTTTTTTTTTTCATTTTTAATCAGATGGGATCATCAGTATGTAATCCGACTCACCTCTATGTTCAAGTAAGTATCATCATTCCCTTTTCTTTTTAATCCTGCTGTGAGAACTTACTTGCTAGAAGTTGAAATGTAGTAAGCTCAAAAACCACTGTTCCTGAGTAAGAGTATTGGTACCTCTGTTTTCTGTTGCAAGATTTCCCCCCACCCTTTTTTGCTTTAACTTCTTATTTAAAGTATAACTTTATGATGTTTTTTTCCAAGATAACTTTGCTGAGGTAAGGTTATTGGTTTCCTTTAAGGTTCTCTATCTGAGAAAAATCAAAAGAGGCAATTAACAATATTCTGATATCTCCCAAATTAGTCTCTAACCTTTAGAATCTTTGATCCACAGGGCTGTCCCTCTGACTGCAGAAGAGGTGGAATATGTGGTGGAAAAAGTGTTGAAAGTGTTCTCCAAATTGAATCTTCAAGAAATACCACCCTTGGTCTATCAGCTTCTGGTTCTCTCCTCAAAGGTATAAATAAAATATTTTTTTAAACTCTGGTGTAATGACCAATTAGTACCATTTAGCTTATTCATACTCTTTATTTTATGTACTAGGACATAGAAGCTTTCATTTCACATATGATGATTTGATCTACTAAAAATGTCATGGTCCTCAGCCAGAGTGAATGTGTATTATCTCTGGTCTCGTGTGTGTGGTAGGAAGAGGGGTGAAGAGCTCTGAAAGGGTGGATTGTAGGCCCCTTAGAGTCTGATATTAAGATATATTTCAAACTCAGTTTCAAAAAGTGTTTTTATGAAAGTGTTCTATAAATTCTTAGTGTGAGTCTAGCTTATAATTTATTTAAATTCATACTTGAAAATTCTTTAAGCTGAAAAGTACTTTAACTTGCCCTTATTTATTTCGTTTTATTCTTTTTCAGGGAAGCCGGAAGAGGGTCTTGGCAGGAATCATAGCTTTCTTCAACAAGCTAGATCAGCAACGCAGTGAGGAACAAAGTGGTGATGAGTGAGTCAAAGAGTATAGAAATAAAGTCATTATTCCAAATTCATCATCTCATTATCTAACTCTTCAGTCCCTACCTTCCCCTTAGTATAGAATTTCCCTAGTTCCCTTAGCTGCTCAGTAATAAAATTAAAAAATAGTGTAGTCTCAACTCTTTTATTTTAATCTTTCCTGGAAAACAGCAATAATGACTCTGTAGTTACAAACTTCAAAGGCGTTTATTAAGTGTTTATTCTGTGTCAGAAGCTATTGGACCTGGGCCAGTGATGAACCAGTCAAAGTTCCTGCTTTCATGGAGAAATTTTAATGAGAAGAGAAAAGAAAGGAAATGACAAGAAAAGTATTAGAGTGGAAAGTGCTATGCATATGTTTCAAGTGGATGACGTGACAGTGACAGTGTAGCTACGTTAGGTTGAGTGGTCAGGGAAACCTCTGAGAAGTTGCTGTGTTAACTGAAGCCTGAAGGATAAGAGCCATAATATGTAGATCAAGGAAAAGAACATTCTTAGTGGAACAGTTAGTCCAAAGGCAGGACACAGCACGGTATGGCTGGAAAAGAGTTTTTGAAGCAGATATTTGTAGAATGCTTGCTATGTGCCAAGTACTGTTCTTAGCACTTTAAACTTCACAGCAACTCCATTTTGTCTCTATTTTATGCTTGGAGAAACCAAGGCACAGAGAAATTAAGGGATTTCCTGGGGTTATATAGCCATAAATTGCTGGATTTGCAATTTGAATGCATGCAATTTGTCTGCAGAATTTGTGCTTTTAATCCTATCTCAGTCTGCTAACCTGGAATAACTGTTATTTTACTTGAGCAGTTGATGAGAAGTTGTTCTTGTGTACTGAGTTAGGCAAGACTGACAGAATAGCAGATTTAGAGGAGAATAAGCTCAGTTTTTACCATGTAAGTTTGAGATATGTATTAGTATCTTATATGAAGGTGCTGAGCAGGCAGTCTGGAGTTTCAGGGAGAGGTTGGGACCAGAGATACAGATTGGAAGGGACTGAAGCCTGCAGGCTCTTTAGGGTCACCTGGGGAAGTTGTGAAAAGAGAAAAGGAACCCAAGATTGAAATCTCAGGCATTCTACCACTTGAAGGATGAGCCAGCACAAATAATTTGAGGCCAGTGACAGTGCCCCAGGAGCTAAGAGAACATGTTTCCAGAAAGAGAGGGGTCAACTGTGTCAGATCTACTGAGGCTTTAATTAAGATGAAACTTGATTATTGATTTTGACAATGTAGAGGTCGTTTGTAGCCTTTGTAAGGATAATCAAATAGCATTGAAAGGGAGGTTAAGGAGGGCACAGAAGCCTAATTGAATTGGATTTAACTGGGGAGAGGTAAACAAGTGGAAATAATGACCATAGACAGTTCATTCAAGAAGTTTTATGAAAAGGAGCAGAGAATAAGACAGTAGATTTTGTACTTTCTGCCTGCCTCCAGTGATCCTGTTAGTTCAGCCTAAGTTTTTCTATTCGTTCATGTGAGCAAATGCACCGTTGTCTCTTGGTCAAGCTATAGCTCAAACCTTTCTGTTGAATCTTTTAGGTACTTGGATCTTGTCACTGTACCATTGGATGAACTTCGTCACGTGGAAGGCACCATTATTCTACACATTGTGTTTGCCATCAAGTTGGATTTTGAGCTAGGCAGAGAACTACTGAGACACTTAAAGGTAGTAACCAGACTCTTAAGGTGATCCAGGATCTCTTCATGAAATAAGGACATTTGAACTCAAGCCTCTTTTTATTCTGTTTAATGACAGGAAACCAATACATAGAAATACTATAGAATGACCCTGGGTCTAGAGGGTCTCTTTTTTAACTTTGAAAGTGGAAGATACATGATACCACTACATTCTTAAGCAAGTCTCATTTTAAAACCACACCTTAAGTATTCTAGTGTTTTTTGTTTGTTTGTTTTTTTAAAGATGAAGACTGTTCTGTAGGAAACTCAAAATTTAGCCTTAGCTCCATTATTATATGAACTTCACTCTTGACCTGTTTCCTTATTTGCAAATTGGGGAAATTGTCTCTTAGTAAATCATGGAGTTCTCATAGTAAATCATGGAGTTTTGTGAAGCTAAGTCATTTTTAAATATTTGTAAAGTATTAAGATAAAAACTAGAAATGTTTTGAACTCTTTAAGTATTTTGCTATATTGACCTTATCTCAACTCTCTCAAGTATATTTTTTCTGAACTATTTAAAGGAAGAAATGTTGACACTTCAGTGCCTGAATATGTCCACATGTGTCTCGTAAGAATAACGATTAATACCTTTTTATTGAATTTTTTAAGAATCTTGCCCAGTTTTCTTGTGTCTCACATTGTCAGATTTGTCTTATTGTCTCCCCATGATTAGATTCAAGTTAAACATTTTTGGTGAGAATGTGTCACAAGTGCTGTTGTATTTTTTCTCTTGTTGGAGTCAGCGAACTTTCTCTGAAGGACCAGATAAACTATTTCAGGCTCTGCAGATGATATGGTCTCTGTCACCGCTACACTACTCTTGTAGCAAGACAGCTGGAGACAACACATGAATGAATGAGTGTGGCTGTGGGCCAGTGAAACTATATGGGCACTGAGTTTTAATTTTATTTAATTTTCATGTGTTACGGAATACTATTAACTCCCTTGACTTTTTTCCCCTCAACAATTAAAAATGTGAAAAGCAGTCTTAGCTTATGGGCTGTATAAAAATAGGTGGTGAGCTAGATTTGTCCCAGAGGCTTTATTTTGCTATCACTATTCTATTGCATCACATCAAAAGGCTGATAGTATCAGGCAATCATAGCCAAATCATTTGATTAAGACAAGGACCAGCAGTTTTCTTCACTTGCAAAGATATATGTTTCCCTTTGTAATTAGAAAGTAATCCATGGGGTCATAATTTGAGACATGTGAAAATCCTTTCCTCAGCAACCTTTGACACAGTGGATTTTGGTTTCCCATCTATTAATGATTCTTGTCCTAAATCAGTAATTATACTGGGAGTTGCAAAATAGTAGAATTAAAATCAGAAGTTTTTATTGGTCATTCCTTCTAGTTGGTTTTCTGTGAAAAGAGCCCCACACCTCCATTTTTTTGAATATTGTTATGCAAACATGAACCTTTTAAAATTCCATGTACTCATAAACAGTACCCAAAATGATCCATATTTGGCCATTTGGATCCCTGAGGTTGGCTTATGTGTCCTTCTGACATGACCCCGTTAGTCTTTGAGCACTTCCATGGCATAAGCTATCCAAGACACACCTGTACTTTCCTTATCGCATCTGATTTCTCCAAGGAGCCTCAGGTCCCTTTTGTAGGAGAAGATATTTAAAGACAAATGTGAAAAATAACCTTTAAAGCTCCTTTATCTTCTCTGTGTCTATTTACTTTTTTTTTATTTAGGTTGCTAGTAACTGTTCTTTTCAAAGAACCAGCTTTATATTTGTTTACTGTGTTATTTTTGTTTGTTGGTTTTCTGTTTTATTCATCTTTGATTTCTTTTTTTCTTTCATTGTCTGCCTTTTCTTTTAGGGCTCAAAAACCTATTTTTTAACTTTATTGAGTTACAATTTATGTAATGTAGAATACACTCATTTTAAAGTATAATTCAGTGATTTTTCATAAGTTTACCTAGTTGTGCAACAACCATCATCATACTTCAGTTTTGGAACATTTTCATCACTTTGTAAGATCCTTCATGCCTGTTTCTATAGATTTACCTTTCCCAGACATTTCATATAAATGAAATAATTTAATATATAATCTTTTGTGTATAACTTCTTTCATTAAGCATAATTTTTCAAGGTTTTTATCCATGTTATAGCATTTATCAGTATTTCATTCTTTTTTGTTGTTGAATAGTCTTCCACTATGTGTGTGTGTGTGTGTGTGTGTGTGTGTGTGTGTGTGTCCATTGACTAGATGTCCACCAGTTGATGACATTCCAGTTGTTTTTACTTTTTGGCTATTATGAATAATGCTGCTGTGAACATCCAAATGCACGTCTTTGTGTCAGCATATATGTTTTCATTTCTCTTGATAGATACCTACCAGTAGAATTTCTGGGTTTTGTAATACATTTATGTTTATATTTTAAAGAAACTACCAAACTGTCCTCCAAAGTGGCTACAACATTTTACATAGCCACAGCACTGTAGGAGGACTCCTTTTTTCCCACATCGTGGCCAATATCTGTTGCTGTCTGTTTTTTTATACCTATTCTAATAGCTATAAAACAGCTTATTGGCCGTTCTGATATCTTTGGTGTTGCAGAGTCAGACATGACCTAGCAGCTGAACAGCAACAACAGTGATATCTTTGATGAAATGTCTATTCGAATCTTTCACCCATCTTTTGATTGTATGACTTACATAGTTTTAAGATTTCTTTGCATATTATGGGTACAAGTCCTTTATCATGTATGTAATTAGCAAATATTTTTTTCAGTCTGTGGCTTGTTTCTTAATGGTGTTTCCTTTGAAGCACCAGAGTTTTGATTTT